ACCGGGTCAATTAATGATCGTCATAGGACTTGACGCAATAAAATTTCAAATGACCGTGATGTTCGCTCGTTAGTGAGATTAATGAAAGAAAACAGATAAGCATCATCTACAGACTTGTCTACAAAATGGACACTGTCAATGTCCATTTTGTAGACAAGTCTGTAGATGATGCTTATCTGTTTTCTGATAATGGTCTGAAAGCAAGCCCTTGAACTGTGCGAAGGGTCCTCCACAATTTAAATTATTTATGGCGTGCTGCTGCAAAAAAACCACGCTTAAATAAAAAATAAAAATTTGCCAGGAAAGAGTGGTGCAAACTACATAAAAATTAGTCAACAGATCAGTGGAACCGTGTGGTTTTTAGTGATGAAATGAACGTTGAGGTAGACAACAGAAAAGGTCGCGTTATGTTGCGTAGACTTCCAAGCGAACGGTTCGATGAATCATGCATTTTGAAACGAACAAAACAAGGAAGTGGTTCAATAGGCATTTGGGCCTGTATGAGTGCCTGTGGAGTTGGCGTTTTTCATTTATTCGATGGTAGACTCAACAAAGAAAGGTACATCGAAATTTTGGAAAACTCACTTACTCCTAGCATTGATTTATGGCAGTTGCAAGATGGATTTATTTTCCAGCAAGATATTGTGCCGTGTTATAAAGCGCATGTTGTTAGCGATTGGTTCAATTCTAATAAAATTCAAATGCTTCCATGGCCTGCCAATAGTCCAGACTTGAATCCAATAGAGAATTTATGGTCGTGGCTTGATCACAAGCTTGGTAAAGAACAACTTTACAATTTGGAAGATTTGAAATCTTCTATCTCATATCATTTGAAAAATGAGCCTGATGAAGTAATCAAAACTTTAATGAATTCAATGCCAGAACGAGTACAAGAGTGCTTGAAAACAAATGGAGGAACAACACGTTTCTAAATTATTTTTTTATTGCTTTTTGAAATTTTTTTGAAATTCAGGTCTTAAAATTTTGTCTAATTTTTTTTTCCATTTATATTTTTTACTAGTCAGTTTTTTAATTTTTTAACATTATTTTGTAAAAAAATTACAAATTCTTTTATAATAAATATAAAATACAATAAAAATTCTTTCTAAAAATGTTTTTCTTTTATTTGATACCTTTTTCCAAAATAAAATTATACTAAGGTTAAAAATAAAATTTGAAAAAAAAAAAAAAGAGTGGTCTTTATCTTTACAGCTGCAAATGTGATGGCAGCTTGGATGAATGCAGGAATAGTTGAAAAGACTATACCAAATTAGATATTAATCACAACAAAGTCAAGCGAGCTCAAGAAAAAATTATGCAGTCTCCTTAAAATTAGAGTTTGAAACTCAATTTAGGAGCATCATTGATTGTATTTTTTTGATGGTAGAACTGATAAAACAAAAGTACAATTAATATTTTAAGGTTTGAATAAACATTTTCCTGCATCAATCAAAGAGATACATTATGCAGTGTGTCAATATTTTTCCACTTTACACCTGAAAATGCTCAAAAACATATAAAACACGCTGAAGTAATTGCTCAAAATATATATGAATTTTTTGAAATATAATGGTAATAAATGGAAATTCTACTATTGTTAAGACAGAGTGGTCAGGCAGAGCAATACGTTGGCTGGAAGTGGAAGCAATACATTGCTTCCACTTCCAGCCAAGATTTTGTGTCTCTAAACATGATTTGGAAGGCAAAAATTTTTAAAACTTTCAATTAACAATTGAGCTTTTAGGGGGAGTTTACATGCTTATGTGGTATAAAATTAAAGTGAAATGCAGATTTACTGAAGGACTGAGACACATTCTTTACTAAGTCTGTCATAAAAACTGTGCTGTCCAAAGAATGTAGAGAAAACAAAGTAAGCTATAAAGTTAATTGCAAAAATCAGAGGCACAGGTGACAAAAAACTGGTAATAAAAAAGCGAGAGCTAGAATATCTCTAAATATAAAACCTGATGCAACAACAATTATACAGCTAATTGACTGGATTATCTCCTGTGAACCTATTTATACTTTTGATCTGACAACAGAAAAAGCAAAACAGATTATATTTCAGCCCATGAATGTTGCAGATTGGTCTTGTCATCGACAAACAAAGTTTATTCCCATGAAAGAAGTAATGAATTTTTAAGAGTTAGAATTTGAGACAGTTGATGTCTACTAATCGGTCAAAGAAAGATTTAATCTTAATGACAAAAAAAACAAAAAGAGTAAATTTTGTCTTGTTAAAAATAGTTATAATAAAAAGAAGTCTTATTTTTTTAAATAGGTAACTAAATGATAGATAAATAATTTAAAATAAACTCTACTATAAAAGTTTTTTCATAGCAATAATAATAAAAAAAAATTTTTGAAAAAAGTTAAAGCCATTTAAAATACACAACTACAAGCAAAAATTTGCTACCTTGTAGTGAATTGAAATATATAATAAATCCTAAATCATGATTATCAGTAGTTAAATCATTCCAGATTTTTTAATATAAACTTCATTTAGTATGATACAAATATGATACAAAAATACAAGCTTTTAGAATATATGTTTACAATGCAATACTATTTACATATATATATATATATAACAGTGTCGAACGAGTGCTTTTTTGTTTGCAAAAGGAAATTAATAATAACATTGTTTGGGTGAAGGTAAATTCTATGGTTATAAATCTAGACAAATTCCGACTACTATTAGCTGGTATAATCAACTATGAAAATTATTTTCTAACAATAGGAAACATAAAAATATTTGCCTGACAAGGTGAAGTTACTTGGGGTTACTATAGAAAAAATTATAAAGTTTGGTGAACATATAAAGTTGTTATGTAGTAAAGCTAAAAAAAATCCCCCAAAGGCTCTAAGTACAAAGGTGCTAACAGTGTTTTGTATTTTGATACAATGTCTTGAATCAGTCTAGTGTGTTTCAAAAAACTTATTTAAAATTGCAAGGAAATAATTGCTTTAGTAATTTGTCGCTACTAATTTGTTTATTTGCTTTGTGTACTTTTTATTAAAAATACAAACATTGTAATTATGATTTTGTGCAGGTATATTATTTTTTTTATTTACATACCTTTTTTTAACTATTTGTTTATTCAATAAATTTTGCTATAAAAAAAAAACATAAAAAAACTCAGACAAAGCAAATTTTTAAAATGTTGATGCACCCTAATCTACATGCTTAATAGTTGCAAGATTAAAACCTTAAGTACTTTGAGCAAATTTATACCTAAAGGTAAAAAAAAAAAGTTCAAGAACAATTAAAGTATCAAAGAAATTTATTAATTTAGGATTTTTCCAGGAAAGTATTTAGCAAATTACAGTTAACTTTCTTTTCCTTGAAAATATAAAAAAGGTAACTTTTAGATATAAGAAAAGTAGGCAGAAACATCACTGTATATTGATTTTATTCATTAAAAAAAAATTTGCCATAGTAAAAAAAGTTCTTAATATCTTAATTTAAGCAAAATTGACGGCCCAATACAGTATATTGGTCTAGAACAGCCCCTGGTAATTTTTTCAAAAATTTTTCAATTCCATTATTATTTTATTATATAGAAAATATTTAGGGGGTGGGAGAAAAGATTTAAAATTTTTTTTTTTCAAGACACTCTTATATAAATATATATAATGCCCTTTTCTGGGGTAGAATAAATAAAAAAGAAAATATAATTTAAATCAATATCATCAATAGAGTATTGTGATATTTGGAATCATAGTCAAAAAAGAAAATATATCCTGAGTTACTAAAGTCTGATTAATTTCAGGGTTTTGCCACAAAATTAGAACTCCCTTGGTACAAATGGTAGGATGCAACTCAATAACACTTTCTTTACAAATATTGCACCTTGAGATGTCAAAAGATCTTGGATTGTGTTTGTAGCTTTGTAGTAAACCACCCAATAAATGCATACAACTTGGATTTCGATCTAACATAAGTCCACAATAACTTGTTATATTTTTACTGTGCATTAATGCATTCAAGCAGTCATTAGTAATAGAGCTTCCTGTTAAAATAAATGTTCTTAAGTATTCAGTTTGTATTCCAAAATCTAACACATTGTTAAATCCACTCTTAAATAAGTTACCAGAAAAATCTATGCAATGAAGACTTTGAAGATTTGAAAACAGCTCAGTAAAAAGTAGGCCATATGCTTTCTTATTATTACATGCTAAGTAAAGCACTTCAAGATTTTTAAAAGCCTTTAGCTCATTACAAACACTCCTCATTCTATTTGCTGAAGAACCACGACATTTGCATCTAATATCAACACTAACAAGATCTTCTTTATTTGTTACTTTAAGAATTTTAATAACAGCGGTGGTTGAAATTCGAATAAATTGTAGTTGAGAGACAATAACAGAAACAGAAATTTTTTTCTTTTTTTGCATTTGCGCTAAACGTAAATATTTCTTTATTAGGTATGTTACATGAAATTTTTAAATTCATCAAATTATAGGTTGTTATATATCATTAAAAAGAGCTTAATGTCAATATTCTAAAAGTGAAAAAATTTTTAAAATCGAACCACCCTACAAAAAGTTATGACGTTTTAAGTACCGATTTTTTGATATTAGGATTTGTTGAAGAAACTGTGGTCAAAATAAACTTTTTATTAACTAAAACTATTATAACTTAACCAATTCTTATCCAAATGTTTATATCTTGGTATCAAAAGATAGATACAAGAGTCATCTACAAATTTACAAAGGTTTCTAGATTACGGGCGCATCCGGGGAGTAAGAGGGGGCACAAAACCACCATCCTTACCGGCAATAAAGACGTACTATATTTATAAAAAAGTGTTTTTTTTAATGAAAATGTAAATATTTTATATGCAAGATGTTTTTGTTATTAGCTACCAGACCACAATCAAATATAGAATATTCATCATTGCCTTTGGGTGGATGTAAGGGTGATGGTTTCAAACACCCTATTATCAAAAATGACTTTTTATATAAATATTTATCTTTATAATTAAAAAGAAATCTAGTATTCAAATCAAAAAGTATATTTTACTACTTTACAAAATCACTAGCAGCGCACCCCTTGTTTCAAGCGGTGTAAATGGGGGAGGGGGCGTGTTCCCCCCCCCCCCCTTTTTTTTTGACAACCTAAAAAAAAAAAATATTTTTATTGAGATTCATAAAAATATTTAAATGCAATTAAAATAATAAACTTTAATTTAAAAACATCTTTTACCAAAACTCAAAATACATCACACAATGCTTTGTGATAGTTATAGATGGTTCCCCCTCTGACCTAAAAAAAAATTTTAAAAACAAAATATGTTTTATAATATTATTCTAATTAGTTTGCGTCTTGGCTTTTAGTTAATGATTAAGATATTAAATTCCATTAATGAAACTATATATTAATCATTGTTAACAATAGACACGACGTGAACGTAAGCCAGAGCCGTCTATCAAAAAAAATTGCAAGTTCCACTACTCGCTTTATATATTTTATGCAAAGTTCCACTACTCGCTATATATTTTTTTGCAAGTTCCACTACTCGCTATATTTTATTTTGCAAGTTCCACTACTTGCTATATTTTATTTTGCAAGTTCCACTACTTGCTATATTTTTTTTTGCAAGTTCCACTACTTGCTATATGTTTTTTTTGCAAGTTCCACTACTCGCTATAAAGTTTTTGTGCAAGTACCACTTCTCACTGTACATTTGCATATTATTGATATATATATATATATATATATATATATATATATATATATATATATATATATATATATATATATATATATATATATATATATATATATATATATATATATATATATATATATATATACAGAGAGAGAGAGAGAGAGAGAGAGAGAGAGAGAGATTTAGAAATAGAGAGTCAACCATAGTAAAATAAAGTAGTAAGATAATCAAATGCATTTCCAATAATAAAAAAATAAATGCAACATATTTACATTAGGAAAACATCAACTCACCGGATACAATGTCAGCAACTAGCTGGAATTTTTTCATATAATAATCAACTGCTTTAGTATCATTTTCTTCTCTAGTCCAGTAAGAAATAGTGTATATAATATCTTTCTGAGCTTTTTTAAGTTTTTCTACTCTGCCATTATACAAGACTGCCATTGCTGTATCGGAATCATACCATTCATGGCAAAGATTTCTCCCAACAATTCTTTCACACATAACATCTTTTAAATCATCAATTTGCTTAGTAGATAAGTTTTTAAACAAATTCAGAATTTCACTGATAGTTAATAATGTTAATTGTTGCTCTAATTTTCTTTTTTCTTTTTCATCGATTTTTTGGCGTTTTATAGTCTGTCTTTTAGAAATCTCAGCTCTAATTTCAGAATGTTGTAGTCGAGTTTTTATTCGTTTTCTATGTGCTGCCTGCATAGACCACTGAACTACCATTTTTCAAGAAAAGTCATCAAGATTATCCAGATAAGCCATTGTCCCATTCTTTTTGGTTCGTAATTTGCAAGATATATAATCAATAGATGCATTAGGAGACCTTCCTTTTGCAGCACTGAACATTCCCATTAATTCTTCACTATCTATGTTATGAAGTCTTGCACTAGCTGTTTCTTTTTCAAGTGCTTCTGTAATGGTAATGGAAAAATAGCGTTTATACTGTCGATTTAAAACCACTTCTATTGCATTGAGGCAAGCCAAGATCATGGCAATGAGCTCGTCATCAATTATGCATATTTTTGTTATTGGTTCTAACACATTTGCTTTGAGAGCATTTCCAAAAAAATCTGTTGTTCTGTAAAATATTGCAGCTGGATCGCATTTGCAGTCTTTAATTGTTTGCACAACATTTTTAACAATCTGGATACCACCAACATGATCAAAATATGCTTTCTCAGATGACACATAAAACATTGTCATCCACGGCCCTGTAAGAAGTTTTCCAAATAAAGCAAGTAGACACATTTGCTTTATAGCAGTTGTATTACAAAATGCTACTCGCAGAACCCTTTGTAAAGTTTTTATTTTTACTGTTCCTATAGTTAAAAAATGTAAAAATTTGCTATAATGTTTTATAAAAATAAAACAAGTGTGGAACAGAATGTGAAGGCGATTTCCACGATACCTTGGAATGATACCTCGTGGTAGTTTATTATTGTCTAAAAAATAAACAAATCCCTTCGGGTCACCTTTGCCATCTTTGAACCTCATCTTATTCATAGCCAAAACAATTTTTGCCGCTATACAATCATTTCCATATAATTCGCAGCTTTCGAGCTCTAGAGACTTTAAAGCTGAACGACATGATGTGGCAATTGTGTCAAGGGGGTGCAAATGACAGTTTAATTCATTCAGACTTTTACCCCAAGTTTCACAAATTTTTCTTATTGTAAGATGATTAACAGATACTCTGTCCGACATTGTGTTTGAAATATTTGAGATGACCATACGACAACATTCATCAAAGGGTTTCAAGTGAAAGTTAGAATATACTAAAGCTATATGATCCACTTCGTTACATATATGGTTCGCATAATCCACAGCTGTCCCACCTGGTAATTGATCAACAGCAATTACCTGGCATTTATCATTTGAAGTTAAGTGAATACTGTTGATATGAACACCTTCTTGTGTAGTTGCGTCAAACCCAAGAGTAAGATGAGTATTACTAATGATCCATTCAGCTGCCTGTAGATCAGCAATACTGCCAAGCTCACGAGCCATTTGCTCAATAGTAGTACGGCAAGGAATGTGAGAAAAAATAATACTGAAATATTGCCCAATTTTGTCTTCTTGAAATGGAATGTTACTTGTTGGGACATTACACAATAACATGCAGTATATTATCATTCTCATTTTTAATGGATAGCTTTTACAATCAGTTGAATTTGTAATACTTATCTTGTCCTCATCCATTTGGGTCAAACTATCTTCTAAGCTAGTAATATCTGTTTTATTTTTTCTAATCGCAGCATTATGTTTGAGAGCTAACTTTCTAAACTTTTTTCTCTCTTTGATTTTTATTGCTTTTTTTGATGCAACAAGATTGCGAATTTGCCTGCTGTAATAATATGTTTGGTTTTTATGTTTTAAGTCTCTAACCTGAGCTCTTAAAGCTTTTATAATATCTTCTTTTCTTTTAACACTTTGCCTTAGAACTTTTAATTTATATGGCAGGCTTGATAATTTTGCTTTCATTGAAGCTATCTTCTTACGATTTGCTATGGAAGGTATTGTTAATCTAGAAGACAAATGAGACAAGTGGTTAGTTAATTTTTTCTTCGTAGGACTCAATTTTTCTATTGAAGTCTGCCTAGTTGTTAAATTTGCTAAATTTGTTAAATTCTTTGTAGGACTCAATTTTTCTATTGAAGTCTGCCTAGTTGTTAAAATTGCTTTATGGCCAACAGAACATGAAGGTTCATCACTTATCAGAGATGTGACACTGGTGTGTTCTGATAATGAAAAAACAGAAGAATGTGATAGTGTGTAATTAGTGCTACTTAAGGTAAGCTGCGATGAAATTGCAATCGTTTGTGCATGGTTTATAAAGGGCTTATTACAAAATGCAACACAACTTTCATATTCCCTTAAAAAATGTTTAGACCAGTTTTTGGCTATGGACACTACTTTTTTGATATGACTGGAGCAAATATTCAAGTTAAAATGGTCATTGACTTTTGCTACTGTTTTGGTAAACAACTCATCATTGCTAGTATAGAGAAACAAAACGTGTCCATTCAGGCACCTTATATTTGTGTTAGATGGCAACATAAAATTACTAAGTAAATGTTTTTTAAATTCTCCTTTAAATACGTGTCTACCCATTATACCATTAAAGCATAAATTAGTTGCAACTAATGAGTTTCTTAATGAATTTAAGAATGTAAAAGAAACCAAAAAAATAATATAATAAGTTTGTTTTAAATATGTATAACACTAAAAAAAAGTTTATTGATTCTTACCGCTCACTCAGACACTTACAATAACGGTACCTGTTTGCCACTTAGAACAACTGTGGTACAAATTTTGCAAGTCAAAAGATTTCCATATTAAGTAATAAGCATGAGATATATTAGTTTAATATTAAAAAAATCTAAAGAGAAAACTATACAGAAAGAAATAGTAGTATATACATTTCTGATAATAGCAATAAATATACTCTATTACATTTTAAACTATAAATGGTATCAATTTATGTAACTTAACCAACAGCTATATCAATATACATACAACATAGTTATTATCCAAAAAATTAAACATATAGTACAGTAGACAATTTTAAAATTAGGAAAAAATTTATTGCATTAAAATTACTAGAACTGTATTTGGAACATTGTTTTGTGTTAGTATTAGTAGTTTTAAACGAGCAACAATAAAAAGTATTATAAAAACTACTGAGCCGCGGGTAAATAAATGAAAATTTTTTATAAACTTTTTTGTAAAAAGACATTGAAGCAATTCTAAATAGAACAAAATTATTGTACGATGTTTAAAATTTTTTTAAAAAAAAACAAAAAAAACAAAAAAACAAACATTACATTGTCTATAATTAGTGTAAATAGTACCTGTAAATAACTTTGAGTGTAACATAAATGCTACCATTTGCAGGAAATTTTTACACTAATTATAGACATTGTAATGAAACACATTTCCCCGTTTTCCACGGCCACCTCGTCTCCTACTTCTGTAGGCAGCACTCCGGTATGGAGAATCACGGTTCCAATAATAGTCTTGCCGATCGTGACCTCCATGCTCTACCCACACATGATAGGAATAATGTGAGTAGGAGCCCGGGTGCTGCCTTCTATATTCCATGTAGCGTTCATGTGTTAGTTCTGAAAGCATAATACAAATTTGTGTTTTAAAATAAAAATGAAAAATAGTCTTGAGAAATTATTATTTTATATACTTTTGCAAGTAACAATGTATACGCTCACCACTGTTGTCTGATGACGCTGTTCCATCACTTACGCTCACTACAGATAAAATATAAAAAGTTATAATAGATTTAGAAAAGGAGCATAAAAATATTTTGAACATAGGTGAATTTTAACTATTCAAAAGTTACCTTACCTATGTTTGATGCTGAAGCAACCACTAAAAATATAAAAAAAAGTTCATAAAAAAGCTATTTAAAATTGCATATGTTAAATTTTTAATAAGTCTTATACATATTCATACCAGTTTGGGTATCTTGGGATCTAGCTAAAGGTAACAAATAATAATATTATGTAAAAATAGATGACATTCAAAAAAATATTTTTGATTAAAGCTCTGTTAAAGCTCATTTGCAGATGTTACCTGTGCTTGATGTTGAGGTAACCACTAAAAATAAGAAAAGTAGCATAAGATAAAAGAAACATAAGTTATAAATAAAAATTTTATATGCCATCTTCTAAAGTCTTTCTTTTTTGAATCGTTTTATCTCAAAAATCAAAAATGAGGAGATAAAGCAAGATTATTTTTACATTTCACATTTTTCAAAAAATCAGATAAATATACTTACCAGAATTGACAACTGAAGACCCTGTTGAATATAAAAATAACAAATTATATAAAATATATGAATGTCACAATAAAATTTTATAACTTCAAATTAATTAATATATTTATTTATACCAGTCTGGGTATCTTGAGCTGCAGTTAAAATAACAAATAAAAATATTATGTAAAAATAAAGAACATATTCTAATATATATATATATTTTTATCAAACTATATATACTTATGTATTATATAGAAAAGTAACAATACCTGTGCTTTCTGCAGATTTAACCACTAAACATTAAAAAGAGAGAACATAGACTAAATTTCTTTTCTATCTATTACTTTTTCTTACATAATTAGAATAATATGCTTACCAGAATTGTCCACTGAAGAGCCTGCTGAATATAAAAAATACAAATTATATAAAAATATGAATATCACAATAAAATTTTATAACTTTAAATTTCAAATTTTTTATAAATTTAAAAACCAAACATTGTAAAACATTACAGGTTACCTCACCTATGTTAAAAGTTGAAGCAACAACTAAAAATTTAAAAGAAGATAAAAAAATAAGTTAAAATTGCATATAAATTTTGTAACTTTAAATAATTCTAATATATAATCATACCAGTATTGGAATTTGGAGATACAGCTAAAGATAACAATTAAAATTATTAGGTAAACCTAAATGACATACTGAAATTATATATATTTTTGAGTTTCAAGCCTGAATAGCAAATTAACGATACCTGTAGTTGTAGCTGGGACAATCACTAAACAAAAGGAAAATATCATAAAATAAACTTTGTTTTTTAAAATTTACTATTTTAAATAATTGGATATTCTCATCTGATTTGACAACCATAAAAGAAAAAATTTTAAAATTTATTATTATTATAAAACCTGAAAAGAGAAAATCTTACTTGAGGAACTTGATGAAGGTTTCACTAAAGAATAACAATTATTATAAACCTTTTTATAAAAAAAATTAGTAGTAATACAATTTTCAAGTTTTTGCTTCATATACACAAACTATATATTCGAAATTGGTCTTATACATAAATTGCATATTAAATTTTTTAAATCCAAAAACAAAATTTACTTACAAGCGTTAACTAAATTGTCTAAAAAATAAATAAGTAACTAATAGTAAATAAATCTGAGATTGAAAAACAATAATTTATTTTTAACAAAGTATTAGACGATACAATAAAATGCATACTTATTGTATTCTCCATAGTGTCTAAAAAAACAAAAATAACCAATTGCGAACAAATAACTTAAAAAAAAAGTTATAACTATAATAATGGCTTTTATTTTTATTTTTGTTAGTTCATTACAGATATATCTTATTTTTAATTTTATTTACATTGTTAGAATTTTATATTATTATAAGATTATATAAAAACATAATAATTAAAATAACAAAACAGTTTTAATAAAAATAGAATTAAAAATAAAATAGATTCAATAAATGAGAATTACTAACTAAATAATTAAATAAATAATAACTAAATAACAAAATTGAATTACTAACTTAATTTTTCATATAAGCTTTCAATAGCTTGTGCATCTAAACAATCATAACAAAGGAACTATTTCAAACAATTTATATCCGTTTTATTTAAACAAAAGTTATATATATATATGTATATATATATAAATACATATATATATATATATATATATATATATATATATATATATATATATATATATATATATATATATATATATATATATATATATATATATATAATAATACTATTAATAATAGTACTAATAGTATTATTATATCAATATTTATTGATATAGATTCTGACTTTGATACATAGAATCATACACAGAAACATAAATTTCTACCATTATGTACTTCTTACTAAATAAACAATACAATTACTCAGAAATACTGTTATTAGATTAAACAAAGATTAGAAAGTCTTAGCATTACTAAGTATTATTATATTTAAGTAAATAGTGATACTATTTGCATAAAAGATAACTAATAAATTAATTGGAAAATGAAAATAAAATTTTGGTTATCTTACAATTTATCTCTTCACTCATTTTATCTAAAAAAAGTAAAATTTAGTAAAAATAAAAAGTTTACAAAAAAGTTTTAGTTTTTTTTAAAGTTAAAGAATTTGATTTTTTTGCACCCCCCGATCGCCCGCAAAAAATTTCAGATTAAGGAAAATAGGTACCAAAAGTGGGCCCCAAAATAGACTGCTTGGGCCCCATTTTTTTTCCACGAAATTTGGAAAAAATATCTATGTTAATATGAAATTATAAAAAATAAGGCGACAAAACACAGCACAACCTACCTCTCTAAATGCGAAGTTCAAAAAACGTGGCACAGAATTTTAGCACATTTATCGGTTCCGTAAAACGCGGATATCGACGTACCTATCTTTATGTTCATTGAATCGATAACAAATTGTGTTACAATTACTAAATTATTGCAAATAGGAGGACTATTGTTTTCACTTTGAGAAGCTTTTTTTGGTGGTGAAAAAAGTGGTTACTTTTAGACTATAATCTAAAAACAATACCCAAAAGTTAATTATTTTAACATTCTTGTAAATAAAAACAATTTAATTTTTAAGTTTTAACAATTTAACTTAAATTAAAATCAAACTTATATTAAAAGTTTATTTTTATATTGGCTTTACTATACTAAAGTTAACTTTTTTGTTTTGCTTTTTAAGGTTGCCTGATATTTTTAAAAAAATGCAATAATAATACTATATATGCATTACAAAAGTAAATCTATATCAATATATGACTAGTCATAACCTTTTAAAACGCCAACATAAATTACTTATACTTTAATAAAAATATTTTATCACATGGTTTGTTGGGTTTCACTCGACAGATGCTACGAGCGAGATTATATCCCTGTTTTGATTGGATGAAAAATTTTACTTCCATTAGGTCCGATAAAATGTTTATCGTTAGCCGGATTTTAGGAGTTATATCCACCCTTCCTACCTCTTCATTAATTTATTCTAATTATACGTAAATATGCGTTACCGCCATTATGGGGGACAACAAATATTTCGGCAATGTCAACAGAAATCGAATATTTGTCTAAGCTTGATTCTAATGCAAAGCAAAGGTATTTAGAAAAAATAAGCTTTATAAACCACGTTGAATCATATCTTCTTAAAGATACTGATTTCTCTAATAATATAGATAGTTATCCAAATGTTACATATCCGGATATTGTTAACTATTTTTTATTTGCTCCAAGTTCTCTTACTAAGGATCAGTTAAAAGCATACAAAGCTCTTGATTCTTATAATCAATTTGTATCAGGTTGAAAAGGTTGGGTTATCAACGCTGGTGTGAAATTATTTGAGAAATATGTTCTTATTCATGGCAGAGTAGGTTATTTAATTATTAGTTCAATATTAAAATAGAAATAGCTTTCTTGTTTTATTTTTTTGTCCTAATTTTTTTAGGTGAAACACTCTCAAAAAAAGAATGATGTACCATTACATCCATGGATTATTTTGGAAGAAGTCAGGAAATATAGTTTTTGCATATTGCAATTGCATGGTTGGTCTTGGAGAAAGCTGTTCACATGTTGGTGCGATACTATTTCATATTGAGTGTGCAGTTAAAATTAGAAGTTCAAAAACATGCACTGATGAAAAAGCTTATTGGTTACTACCAAGCTCTAAACAGATAGAATTCAAGCCTGTTTCAGATATTGATTTTACATCCCCCAAATCTTTGCAATACAATTTAAATAATAAAGTTCAAGGCATAATTTATGACAAAAAAATAGCACATAGAAAAAGTGTTTCTATTCCAACAAAAGAGGAAACTGATAAATTTTCTTTATATCTTAGTCAATGTGGAACAAAACCAGCTATTCTTTCAATTATTCTTGGATTTACCAAATCTTATGAACCATCAATAATAACAAAAAAATATCCTGAATTATTGTCAGATGTTTATCAGAAAAATATATTTTTAAACTTTAAATAACTCCTAGCTGCTTGTAAAAAAAAAATTACAATAACGATTGAGCAAAGTAAGAAAGGTTGAGAGAACAAGGCTACTTCAAGCAAAAAGTTCAACAACCCTTCCTTGGTGCATCACCAGATGCAGTTATTAATTGTGATTGTTGTGGAAATGGTTGTCTGGAGATAAAATGTCCATATAGTATGTGAGATAAATACATTAGCGAATTATTAGATTTTAAAAACTGTTGTCTGAAAAATAAAGCTGGTTATATATCTTTAAAAAAATCACATAAGTATTACTATCAAGTTCAGTGTCAGTTACATGCTTCATCAAGTAACTACTGTAATTTTTTTATTTTGACATTAAAAAGATTCGTATTGCGAAAGAATATTGCCGGATTTGGAACTTATGGACAGGAATATAATAAATCAATTTTTTGAAGAATATATTTTACCTAAACTAATTGACAAATTTTACAGCCAAAAAAAAAACAATTAATGAAAGAAATATCAGATAAAAATAATTTTATACTAATAGAACATAGCTACTTTAAAAATAAAAACAAAGTTTTTAATGATCACGATTATTGTATAAAATTGAAATAAAAATTTTGATAAAAATATTTGATGATAATATTTTTTTTGTTTATAAGATCTAGTTTCAATTAATTATTCAATTCTGTTAAATTTTTAAAAACTATTCCACAGGAATAATTGAATCACATATATTTATCAAAGAAGAACAAACAGTAACAATTTTGTCTATTGTGCATAATCCAGAATCTTTAGTATAATATAACTGACACTGAACTTTTAATGGCAAAATACTTTGCAGAACTTTATATTTGTTACGTAACAATTCAATAACTCTCTCAACGTGTACTCGAACAGAGGCAATTTTCCGGGTTGTTTCTACATCTGAACAAGTCAATTGTAACTTTCCTTTTGTAAATCCCGGAATCTTTAGCTCCCCATAATTAAAGCCAACACTCTTAGCAATGTTAAAACCTCTATCAGCTAAAATAACATCTCCAGGAATAATGTTTTTTAAAATTGAACAATGCTCTGTTAGGTATTTATCGCTAACACGTCCTCCCCAAGCTCTAGAAACAAATGTTATCACACCTTGTGGGCTTACACTTATTAAGAATTTAACAAAATTGTGATGTTTGTACAGTGATTAAGTTGCTGCTCTTGCGCATAGATTAGATGGTTTATTTATGAATATTTCAAAGTAATCAATTATTACAGCCACTATATATATGCTTGCAATGTTCGCAATGAGCTTATAGTTTCCATAAGCTCATTGCGAGCAGGCCATTTAATTAAATATTTCATTCTGAAGTACATAATTTCAATCCATCTTAAAAGTACTTTTGATGAGGTCGTTTTTGAAGTTTCAAATCTATAAGCAAGGTCTCTAATAGATAGATTTAAACGCAATCTCATAAGCTTCAAAGAAAATTCTTCAAAGTACGATAAAACTGAGTTCTCATTTTCAGTTATAAAGGGCTTTAAGAAGTTAAATAAACAACATAAAATTTTCAAATTTGGCAATCCAGTGTAAAATGTTACTTTTGAATCGGTATCAAATCATTCAATAGTTCCCACATGGAGTTTGACTAAATTTGCACGCAAATCATAATTAAGTTTTTTTTTATATATAAACTCAGTTTCTATTGATATTTTTGACAGTCATATCAGTTTGAACACTCGCATCTACTAAGTTTTCACAATCTTTTGTAACACTTTCTGAGACAATTGATTCACTACTTTTAAAATTCTCTATTTGAAAATCTACAATTGAATCTTCAGAAAGGTTTAAATTAGTGATGCTGTTTTTACATAGAATCATTTCGACTTGTTAATAATGAATGATTTTTGTGTCGTAAGTATCTTTCTCTAGGTTTCTCAACCTCAAATTAAAGCTTTTTGTGCCCCATATTTAAGGATGGAACCCAATCAGGATCATTCTGTGAGAAAAGAGAAGCAGATTTTCCTAAATAAAAAATAAAAATGTTAAACAGTTAATGATATTAAACTTTCAAAGGTAATAAAATGATCACTGCAAATTCGAGTGTGGAGGACATCAGGATAGTTCCCAACTCTGTTTATGGCATTTATCCATTTTTCTCTACGTTCTTTTGATAAAATCTTACCATCATCGCCTTGATAGCAAACTACTTTGGTAAACAAAAAAAAGATTTACCCTTTTCACGATTTGAACATCCAAATACAGCACAAAAGTTGACCATATTATAATTTTATTTTCTATCACAATATTTGCATATTTATATAATAAACATTAATTTAAAATAAAAAAATGATATTAACTAAATAAATCAGATTAGGATTTATACTTTCTTATTCTGATTATAAATACATTAAATTTTATTAAATATTATATTTATTGAAAAAACTATGAATATTATAATTAATATATTAATTTCGCTAACTTAGTTGTCCTCCATAATGGCAGATTTGAAATCAAAACAACTCTTAATTATTTCGTGACGTCGAGCAAGGAACGGTGAATATGAAATATTAGTAAAGCGCATATGATATATTGGAGATATATATTTTAGATTGAGGACTGTTTTGAAACTAGTTTTTTGTCTAATAAAAACAGGGATCTTATCTCAAGGCGAGTTTTCACTCATCCGTTTTTTTTACGGGAACGGGAAAGGGACGGGAAAATTATTCACGTGGGCTTGCGTAGTATAAGTTTTAATATGTCCAAAGGAAAACTACGCATGCTCACGTGATTATTTTTCCCTTTCCTTTCTCGTTCCCGTGAAAAAAACGGATGAGTGGAAACTCACCTTCAGATCTGTAGTAGATTATTCCCACCGCCTGAATTATTCCATCCCCCTATGAAAAACCCTATAAAAAAATGGGCAGCCGTGGCGCAGTGGTAGCGCACTTGTCTCAGAAACGTAAGATCCGTGGTTCAAACTCACCTCTGGGCAAGTTTGCAACATCGGTTGGGAAGGAGGCGTGAACTTCCTATTAAATGCTCTTCCGCGGTGCTCTGTGATAAGACCGTAAGGACTTCTTGGGGCACGTAAATCAACATAAAAAAAAAAAAAAAGTTCAAAACGAGATTGCGACATACCTGATATGAAAAAGGTAGTTTAAGATTCTGATTTCAAATGATTCAACATTAAACATTTTTTTGACATTTTAAAAACTCTAGGTACAAGTATAAAAATTTAATTATATTATTTCGAGCACTAAGCTGTAAATAAATAAATTATATTTATTTAATATAGAGAATAAAATAAATATAGTAAATAATTGACAAAATTTTATTGTAACATGTTTAATAATATTAACGCTGCATGTTTAACATGTTACCCTTCTTGACATATTTAACATGTTACCCTTCTTGAAGGAGAGTTTTCGTAGACGTTCATATCTTATAGAATAACAAAGCAAATA